CACTCTTCTTTTGACTATCACTAATTGCTTCTTTATATCTTTTAGGCTTCCCCTCATCAGTGAGCATAACCTACTCATTTGTATTATACCGAGTGGATGTCTTTTATCTCTCGAGGATCGTCTCGGCTCTGGTGCTATTGGAGAGCTAGAATGAGGCTCTTCCTGAGCCGGTTCATCATGAGTCTCCTAGTTGATTTTCTCTAACATAGGTTCATGATCTTCAATATCATTGTTTTCTTGTGTATTATTATCCTCACGTCGAACTAGAGTAGGTTCGGTGTTCTTGCCGCTTCTCATCTTGACCTCTCTGAATTTTTTATATCTTCGATTGTTTGGTCTTCAAAGAATACAACATCTCTGCTGTGGACAACCTTCTTTTAACTGGATCCCAAAGTCGATAATTTAATTCATCCTTATGTGAATGGTAGATGCATTCCTTCATCTTTATGTCAAGCTTGGCTCTCTCATATTTGGGTATGTGACAAATTCCCCGCACCCAAACCTTGAGATGATTGTATAAAACCCTTTTTCCCCGTCCAGACTTCTTCTGTGATGCTCCGTTCAAGGGAACTGATGGTGTAAGGTTGACAATGTTAACCACTACCATATAGCTTCTCCCTAAAATGATTTGGGTAACTTAGCATGAGAAAGTACACATCGAACTCTTTCCAATAGTTCTATTCATTCTCTCAGCTAGTCCATTCAATGTAGTGTCTTGGATGGAGTCCTCTCTAGTCAAATGTCATATTTCTTGCAATATGCTTCAAAAGGACCTCTATACTCACCTCTATTGTAAAATCGTACACACTTGATCTTTCATCCAATCTCACGCTCTACTAGGGCATGGAATTGTTTGAATGTGTCAGCACTTGATCCTTTGATTTAACAGGTGCACCCACATCTTCCTTGAATGTCCATCAATGAAGGTGAAAAAGTAAATGTACCACCAATTGATCTCTCGACATCGAATACACGTTGGAGTGTATGAGGTCTAGGATGTTTTTTCTTGTGGGCGGAAAAGATATTGGAAAGCAACTCTGTGTTGTTTTCCAGCTAAACAATGAGCACAAGGGTCAAGTGGTTTACCTTTCACATAGGAAGGAGTTGTTTCCGAGCTAGCATGTGAAGACCCTTCTCACTAATGTGCCCAAGTCATTTATGCCATATCTCCACATCTTCAGTGGTGATGTTTACCCTCCTTTGTAGATCTTAGCTTACATACGTACAATGAACCTTCTTTCATCAGCCATTATTAGGCTTCATTTGGTGAGCTTCTACTTTTCTTCACTAAAGTAATTTATCAGACCATCATCATCTAGCTTCACAGCAGAGATAAGATTGAGGCGCATGGCTGGAACGTGCCTCACATCTTTTAAGATAAGTTCGCATCAAGTTTTCGTCAGGATGAGTCTTCTATCCCGATGATCTTGTTCATGTCTTGATTTCCCATTTTCACCGTACCAAAGTTACCGCTCGGTAGGAGAGAAAAAACTTCCATGTGGAGTAACATGGAAGAAAGCACCACAATCGACAATCCAAGAGCTATATCATAACAATGTTTAGGATATTACATTCATCACGAGATATAACATATATTATTTTGATACTACGGCAGTAGTACTATCTTCTTGCTTCTTCTTGGGCTGATTTGGTCTGGCTTAATATTATCGGCCTTCTAGTTTCTCTTGAAGGATCGATACTATTTTCTTATGGCCATCCTTCCACAGTAGTAACATGTAATCTTCTAGCGTGACTTGGATCTACCTCAGGATTGCAGATCTCAGCTTTTGCTACGTCCAAGAGTTTCATTCCTACCTCGATTCTCAATAATATAGCTTCGAGATGAATAAACTCACCAACGAGATATAACATATATTATTTTGATACTACGACAGTAGTACTATTCTTCTTGCTTCTTCTTGGGCTGATTTGGTCGGCTTAATATTATCGGCCTTCTAGTTTCTCTTGAAGGATCGATATTCTATTTTCTTGTGGCCCATCCTTCCACAGTAGTAACATGTAATCTTATAGCGTGACTTGGATCTACCTCAGGATTGATGCAGATCTCAGCTTTTGCTACGTCCAAGAGTTTCATTCCTACCTCGATTCTCAATAATATTAGCTTCGAGATGAATAAACTCACCTCGTTTCATTCTTCTTGCTTCTTCACCAAGAAGGCTATCACTAACGGTATCCATGGCGAGCTTTCCTTCCGGAGCTGAATTACTAAATGTAACAACGAGTGTATCCCAACTTTTCGGTAAGGAACTAATGAAAGGCTATCACTAACGGTATCCATGGCGAGCTTTCCTTCCGGAGCTGAATTACTAAATGTAACAACGAGTGTATCCCAACTTTTCGGTAAGGAACTAATGAATAGAATGGCTTGCAACTCATCATCAAATTTCATATCAATTTTTGTTAATTGATTTATGAGCCCCTTGAAATTATTTAAGTGCTCAATCATACTTTGATCATCCTTATAATCCAATTTCACCAACCGTCAAACTAAATTGGCTTTGTTACGAGGCGTTTTCTTTTGAATCATTAACTCAAGCTTTGTCCGTAATTCATAAGCATTTGTATAAGTAGAAACATGCTCAAAGAGGGTTTTATCAATATACTTACGAATCATAGCAACGACCTTCCGATTTAGTAGCTACCATTGATCATCACTCTTGCCTTCTACCTTGTCTTTTTAGATGATGGACTCATGCAAATCCTTGCAGTACAAGGGGTCCTCCATTATCGGCTTCCAATGAGTAGTTATTGGCTGTGAGCTTGAACATGTCTCCATCATGAGTGACGTTATCCTTCATCTTGAACTGTACGAGCTAATTACGGCTATGGGTGAACCTAGCTCTGATACCACTATTGGGATTAACAGTTTTTCCCACTTCGTGAAGTTAAGATAGACACTTAAAGATTAAATAATATTAAATAGAGCACAAGATTATAAATCTTCAATTTGGAGATTCTTCCACTATACAAAAGAATAGTATGATTACAATGATGGGTTCACAAAATTTTATTTACACTTTGTAGCTCACTCAGGCTTGAGGATAAAGACTTCCAAGCTATCTCTCTTTTCGCTCATAGAGGCTCTCTAACTCTATAGTTTCTTACTCTAATAAGTAGACTCTGTTAGTGTTTTTGGATTTTTTTTTGGATAGCTAAGAATAAAGTTTCTGACCCCTATTTATACTACTCCACCTCCACAATGAATGGTGGAGATTACTTTCATCCAAGGGTAGAGGTTAATTATCTAGAATCCTCCACACACTCTAAGAAACTCTACACTCTTCCACTCCCTTCCATATTCTTCCATACTCTTCCATAAGGTTCCACACATTTCCAGAGGATTCTACACTCTTACACAAGCTTCTAGAGAGTTCTACACTTCTCTAGAATTCTCCGGAATATTCTAGAAAATTCTACACTTCTCTAGAAAACTCTAGAATTTTCTAGAACCTCTCCAATTGAGGGATCCAACACAAAACTTAAATGTCCAACTTTGATTTACTTTTTTGGGACCAATTACTTCAGTTATATGAAAGACAGACACCAAACCCAAGTAGTGAAATGGTCATGAACCTCTCTTTTATGCTTTACTTAACCACATACTACCATTTTCATTTGCATACACCAATCCCAATGACAAATAGGAAATGGCAAATGATATTATCAAGTTTGTTGAACCTTCAAGCAGCATGGTTGGTTCATTAAATGCTTGCAATTTTTGAGTGGTCAATCCTAGTTAAGCAATTCGAATGGGTATGAGAGGCACTCATTTTTTTCACAAACTTAATAAATATGTTTAATGTGATTTTTTTATCAACAGTTTCTGTCGTTGACCTTTAAAATGTTGATGTGGCACTTTATGATGTTGACGTGACAATCCACAGTAGTGGGTGACATAGCTGATGGTGTGGTAGATGAACTAAATTGATTTTTTTGATCGAGTTCGAGGGCCAAATTTATTTTTTTCTAAAAGTTCATGGGCTTATTTAATTTTTAGAAAACAATATTTCTAATTTAAATAAAAATGTTCAAAAATTAAATATAAAAATAAATTAAAAGTATATCATTATTTTTTATTTCTAATTTAAACCTAAATTTTATTTATATAAACTTGAAACTCATTCATCCCATGGAATTTTTTTATATATTTACTTACCTTCTAATTATCTTAAACTCTATCTTTTTAATTTAATTTCACTAAATTTTTATAAAATTAAATAAAATAAATATTATAAAGCCTAAAACTTAAAATTTAATATAGAATTAAAATTTATGTATAAATTATCATAAAATATATAATTAAAAAATATTAGAAAATTAGTCATACAATTAAGAGCATTTTAGTGAATATAACATGACTAGGTCTTACAAACCCTTCTGTCATTTTTTTAAATTTTTCAAGGAATAAAAATTTTGTCTCTATGAAATGAAAAGAAAAACTTATATTAAAATTGACATGTACGAACATAACAATATGATTATACTATTAAATAAAATAAAATTCACTTTAGATTTTGTTTATAAATTGTATAAATCATTTAACAATAATATTTTCAGTCACTTCAGTTAATATATATACATATATATTTTTTAAAAAAATATTTTTTTAATATTTAGGCTTAAGGATTATAATTGTCCATGTAATAGACTAAATTTATCGATTTTGTTTCTATCGTATTTTTGCATCAATTTTATCCTCGAAATTATTTTATTGCATCAATTTATACATTTGACCGTGTTAATTAACAGAACTGTTAATTTCTGCAGATCTGGACACCATCTGTTTTCACCTCTCGTGACAATAACAAACAAAAAAAAATTATTTTTTCAAGTAAACAATTACACGGTCCATTGTTCTGTCGTCTTCGTCTCGTTAGGACCAGCAAAATTCGAAGCAGTTGATCCACAAATCTCACAAATTCTAGGAAACCATAGAAACAAATTTTATAATTATAAAGTAAACTTTGATTCCTCTAATTCCCATAAAGATTGTACATCCAGAAGAATAAATCGTGCCAATAATTTAAAAAAACACTAGCAAAACATCCCAGAATTTTTTTTTTTAAAAAAAGAAGATTACTCGTTTCCTGTTTATGGGCAAATGCAGCTTGGTTCCAGCCTCCAGATCCACTTCCAGTGACGACACCGAAGATCCCCTCTCATCGATCGTCCCAGATTTTGCTTCATTCGAACAAGACGAGGAACACCTCCTGATGTCATCCTCGTTATCTGTCTGGTTTGCTTGCTCTTCTCCTCCTCCTCCATCGTCAATGCCGATGACCACCACGACCCCTGAGTTTGTTTTGGTAAAGCTTCCATCTTTAAGACACCAGACAAAATCGTGCAACTGATTTGTCTGATTTTTCTCTCTTGCAACTGAACAACAACCCTTTAATGCCATTGTCAAAATAGTGAAAAGCAATGGCGAAATAATGCAATTTAGGGTTTCTATTTAGAATTAGAAATTTCAAATCAGAGCAAAAATGTTGAATAATTAAAAGGTTTTCGAATTCAAAACAAAATAAAAAGAAGAAGAGAAAACCCATTCAAATTCCTTACCTGCCAGGAGATGACGATGAAGGAAGGGGGATGATCACGATGGAGGTAGGAAAGGGGATTAGTTTTAAGTTGAGAATTATATACGTGTAATTGTTTACTTTAAAAAATAATATTTTTTGTTATTGTTCATTAGGTTGACACGTCAGTAAAATTATCTGAGGTGAAAATGGTTGACATCCACATCAGAGAAAATTAATGATTATGTTAGTCAACATAGTCAAATGTATAAATTGATGCAATTAAACAACTTTAAGAGTAAAATTAATGCGAAAATACAATGGTGTGAAATCGATAAATTTAGTCAACTACAGGGACAACTATGACCTTTAAACCTAATATTTATATATTTAATTTTTCTATATTTGAATAGTTTAAATTTAAAATTTAAAATAACTTTTTAAAAAAATTAAATAAGTCCATAAATTTTAAAAAAGTAATATAAATCTCAAAGTCGATAAAAATAAGTACGAGGGCCTCATATATCTTTTACCCTTTGAATTTTAAAATGACTTTATTAAAGTGATTTAATTATACGTTTAAGTTATATGAACCGAGTTTAATAATTGAAGATGATATTATTATAACTACCTATGTACATAGGGGTGTGTAAATATTTATTGTTAAAAGGTTCATTGTCAGACATAAGGGTGTGTAAAATTGGGTTCAATTAATCATTAGAAATTTATTTTGATTAATCGATAAATTCACATCGTTCAATTCCTGACCCTGACATACCCCCATTAAATTGGTTGACCAATTAAACATGATATTCAATTCAATTTGGCTTATAATTCTATGACTTCAGTTATTAGAAATATCAAATTTAATAACATGATAGGAAAATATGAAACTTAGAACATTAAACTTTTTGTAAACCGGAAAACTAAGAACATTACTGTCCTAACTCAAATACAGAAGATGGTTCACAATTAATCGGATTTAAGCTTATTAAGCAGCCCACTCGTTGAAAACAAAAGCAGCAAATTTGCGATAAAAATACAAAACCAAGTAAAAATAAAAAAATCGAGAATTAAGTTTCTTACAGATGACAGTTCTCTCTGAGTCGCGCGGGTTCGTGCTTATGTGATTAAGAGGGCCGATGTTTGGAGTTTCTAGTCGGGTGCCCTTATGAGCTGGAGTCTAAGGAAGATCTTGTCCTCTAGAGATGATGCGGCTGCTGCCTTTGGGGCTCTGGAGAGAGTCGATACTTGCCGAACTAGTAAGGTGTGGGGTGAGATCCGCACTAGGAAGGTGAGAGTTCCGTGACAGTGCCTGATTTGGTTTTGCACTACATGTTCCTAGGCACTCTCTTATTACCTGGATGACCTTGCTCGATCGTTTGTCGACTCGGGATAGACTTATTCGTATGGGGTTGAGAGTTGGCAGTATTTTTGTGTTGTGTAGTGCTGCGAAGGAGACTCGATCCCATATTTTCTTTGGGTGCCGTTCTCAATTGAAATTTGGAAGATCATTTTGGAAGCAAGCGGTATTAGTCGTTCGGTTCTAGATCGGAAGGTGAGGTTGCCTTGGCGTGTGCTCACGTTAAGGGTAAGTCCTTTCGATCCACTATTTTTAGATTAGCTTGGAATGCGTCTATATACTTTGTGTGGAGGGAAATAAATAATAGATGCTTTAATAATGTGTATTTGGCAGGGATATAATTGTGGGTTTCATTAGGGAGGTAATTCAATCTAAAGAATATAGCAGGAATAGAGAGCGGCTGAGTGCTCAGCTTTGTACAGATTAGGGTATTAGCGGTTGAACATCTTGTTTTGTTGAATACTCTTGGTTTGTACTTTCTTTGGATATAATATACATATTTTATCCAACAAAAATCGAGAATTCCCACTTTCAATTAATCAAAACATATCAATGAGGTTTTGTACAATTTAGTACTTAAACTATTAGGTTTTATCTCTTTTTGTACTTAAACTTTCATTTTTAAAATATTCATTCCTAATGTTTAGTCTTTGTTTCGTTTTAATACCTCGCCGTTAAATTTTTAACGCCATTGTGTTTTTTATATGTAAATTACATCACTCATCAATCAATTATCTTTTCACTCCTATTTGATACTGAAGTTTAAAAAAAATCAATTTAACTATTCAACTTTCAAATTGCTTATATTTTAATCACTCTAATTTATTTTATTAATAATTTTTGTGACATGGCATCTTTATTATTTTATTAATAGATAATAAAAAAATAAATCTGAAAGTAGAGTGATGAAATTATGAGTAATTTGAAAATTAAATAATTAAATTAAAATGTTTTAACTTTAATTACCAAAATAAGAGTGAAAAGATAGTTGAATGATTAATGATGCAATTTACCTATAAAAATGTGTAACATGCAAATCAATTAAAAGTTTAAGTATTGAAAAGACAAAAAATAATAATTTAGATACTAAACAAGTAATTTATCCAAAAAAAATTTAGGGACATCATATTCACTAGAGAACACGATATTGTAATACACAAAATTTACAGGTATTGTAGATAATGGGTCGGTTCAATTACTTGACTTTATTCAAAACTACAAATCGTAATTGAATTAAAATAATTTGAAAGAAATTAAAATTTTCGGTTTCATTAACTAGATTTTCAATTTGCATTTTTCCATCAAATTCGATTTTCCGGGATTCCTTTTTGGATTGCCTTAATTGAAGGCCTAGACAAACCTGATCGAAATCAAGACAAAACGAAGAACATTTTCATATGAAGATTATTCTGAATGTACAAACAGATAACAGGATTCCAAGTCTCTTTAAATGGAAGATTCGAAAACTCACCAACGAAGAGACTTACCAACTACTTTCAAAGAACATGTATAACAAAAACTTGAAAGAAAGAAAAAAAAGACATGAACAGAAACATCCGATATTAATATATCTATTGACGTAATTGATCAAACCAAAACATCAGATTTTCGACCATCCAAAATCCCGTCATGTGCAGACTTGTTGAAGAACTCGATACAATCAGCAATGGCCTCACTGTAATGCGAATGTGAAGAGTAATACGAGCTGCACGAGGTCTTCGGTGGATCGAACCGATCACAGTTCTTTTGCCTCGCGGTGGTGGCCATACTCGACGTGCCAGAAAATATCAGCCGCATAAGAATCTTCCGGAAACGTGTAAAGAGCTTCATGGCGGTGAAGTTCAACTTGGGTGTCCCTTGGTTTAGGGTTTCAGTGCTGCCTCTCACTTGTATAACAAAGCTCTCTCTTTGAGACCTGTAGTGCATGGTGAATATGTAGTGATGGCGTAAAGCTGTTAACCTTTCTTTTTTCTTTCTGGTTTTGCTTTGACAGGTGCCCTACGGGAAGTGTAATTGCTGTCATGTGTGTCTTTCATTGTGAAGATATAAAAAGGGTGAAGGGTTTCAAAAGGAGGGACTTTATTCTATTTTTGAAGACGCAATGTTGTTTTTGAAAGGAAAAAGGTAAAAGATGGTTGGCGAGACCATGTGCCCAAATCATTTGTACTGGGCTTCACTTGTCCGAAATGTTTAGTTTGTTTATTCCAGGTGCTTGATTGAGTATCTTCAACTGCAAGCACTGTTCCATGAAAATAATAACAAACGTTACTAATTTATCAACTTTTGATTAATAATAATGATCTTCCTCAAATCATTTATATGCGTATGATATTGTGAATGATCTGAGGTAAGCAGATTCATGCATAATGGACTCGGAAAGTTGAAAGGCAAAGGGATTACAAGCGATAATGAGTGATGAATGACCCTCAATGTCCCATAAGAAAACCCTTAAAAGGGTCCTTTAACCTATGGCAAGAATATTTGTGGGGCCTTTAGAAAATAATCAAACTCATACTTGAATAATACTGTCTCAGCTACTGTAATTATTCACTTTTACTGTATTATCATTGATAGAGTACTTCAAATCTACCATCACTTTTTTTTAGTTGCAGTGATTATCATTGATAGAATCTTTCTTAATTATTAACGATGCACATCTTATAAACATAATTGCTCGAATTCGAAATTTCTAAAATAATAACACTCGCTTTTATTACTGAATCACTTTTAGCCATAACTCGAACACTTCATCAGATATTTAATTCGCTCGCTTCTTATCTCCACCTTCACTGTGGGTGGCGCCATACATGCCAAAATCCTTCTACGTTTTCATGTTGTATGGCAACAAAGCTATGATCAATCATTGATTAGGCAAGTGCCTATAAAGGTAAACGATTAAATCTGTTGGTGAGGTTTTTAAGGCAATGCTAAGGGCAAAGAATTTGTGGTCCTACGAAGCTAAAATTCATATTTTAGCCCTCTGCACAAGAAAAATCACAAAGTAAGTCCAAGAAACAGGAGGGAAAGCCGAAGAAAAACCCCATTTTTTTTTTTGAAAGAGTGAAACATGATGAAAGAGATTGAGAAGAGTAGAGATGACAATAATTACAAGTGGAGGGCTTAGGATAATGATTTGTTAAGACAAACATAATTGTGTCTCTCGTACTTACATGCTTAAACTAAACCAGTGGAACAATCATGAGGCTTGCCACATTCCCTTTCAGGTTTCATTAACAATTAACAAGATGAAGATCAGTATTCCTTTTTCCCGTGTATGTCGGGCTTGATTATTATCTTGTTAATTGACATTTTCCAGATTCTGCTTATACATTTGTATCCCTCCAACAAAAGAAAAAGCAGCTAATTGGACCTATAAAGAGCTTTGTTATTTGTGATAGAACCAAAACATAATAGGTATATACTAAATATTATAATATTTAATCATGTCAAATTTTAAAAATATAATATAATATTAAATTTATAGAAGCGGACTTGAATCCATTGATGGTGATTGTCTATAAAGTGGTTGTGATCTTCCAATAAGATAAGTTTGTTATTGTTGTAAAAACTCTATGAGATGATAAAAGTAATACAAATTAATTTATTTCTTGGATATCACTACATCTTTATATAAACCAAATATTAAATTAGTTTATAAGTATGTTATAATTATTTCTCTCATCAAATTATAAATACAACTTATAATATATATAATTACAGTTTAATACCTATGATACATGTAATATAATTAGTCACTTAATTTCGTGACATATCATATATGTCCAAATTTGCAAATTTTAATCCAACAATTTTGGGAAAATTTAGGATTTTGAGAATTTTCATGTCATTTTTGGGTGAAATCTAATTTTAAATCTGGAATTCATTTCCTATGAAGATTTGAGAATGAAGCGCAATACATTATGCCTTCAAATCTACTCTAACTTGCTGAAAGCTCAAGTGAGGAAGATGGCAGAGGATCTTGAACAAGATGAACGTATTAGAGAAGATATTCAGCATTAGTTAACTTATAAGCATCATTCTGGCGGTGCTGTCCCAATTGTAAATGGTCAGAGTGAAAATAGAGTAAAAAATAGAGTTGGTAAAGGTCATTTGAGGGGAAAAGAAGAGTGAAAATCCACTGTGAATAATGCTATTGTTTTAGTCATCTACCACCAGCAGCAGCATTGAGACATTACATATCTATAAACATTATATGAACCATTTCCAGAACGAACAAGTTGTTCCTCTACTTACATCAGAAAATATATGGGAGAAAACAAATGTAGGCTCAATAGAGAAAAAGGGATTTCACAATGTCAGGTTCCAAAATCACTTGGTATATGTTTATCAGCAAATTCCAACGAGGCAAGTCCAAAATCTTTGCCCTTGCTTCTTTTTAGGACTTCAGTCATCATCTTTAAATTCCCTGTTCGAAATAAAACATGGAATCCGTCAACAATGGTAAATATTCTCATGTTTCAGAACGTCGTTTCTCATGGTGATTACGTACCTGCAATCAAGATACCGAGGCTGAATCCCACCACCTTGGCAAGTAGTGCATGTTAAGGAACCGACTCCTTCGCAGTACACGCATTTCGACACCTCTTTTTATCCCCACCAAGCTCTATACTCATGGTCCCACTTCCCAAGCAAAATCTACACCTCTCTGCATCATCACAAACACTTTGAATCACTCAATAAGACCAAAGCTCTCTTTTAATTACAACATGGAACAAACTGCTGCTATACTAGAGAAAGCATTACTTACGGGCTCCGGTGCCATTGCAAGGGAAGCATGCTTGGGTATTTTCTAGGTTCGAATGTGTTATAATATCGGAACAATGATTCTCGCAAACAAATAAACACTATCGGAAAAGAAAAACAAAGAACATCAGAATTTACGTAGAAAACCCAAAAGGAAAAAACATAAGGTGTTGGGCGTACACACCTTATAATCCTAATAAAATATGTAAATGTAAATTTCTTATTATTCAGAATATTATAAATAAAATGGCAAAATACAACAAAAATTCTAACGTTTGACAGTAGTGTCAAACTTGCCCGTATTGTTTTTTTTGGAATATTTCACCACTGAACGTTTAACTTTAGGTCAAAAATCACCCTTGATGGATGGAAACCGTTGGTCAACTGACGGTCAACGCTAGAAACTGACGGAGCAAGCACACATGAACATGGAAGCTGACGTGGAATGTCCATGTAGAATATCATGATGACGTGACAGTACGACAGAATTTTTAAAAATAAAATAAATAGTTTTATGATTAATGAACTAAATGATATTTAATAGATTTCACCACCCATTCACACAAAATCACGTTAGTAACAGAGATTACCAACATTCGACTCATTTATGAGGTTTATCATATGAAGGAAAAGGATGGTTAGAAACTTTGCTATAATTAACTAACAGTATGGTGCAATTCTCCATATCTGGTTATCTCCCTTGTTCCATTGCCACAACACAATGGTAGTACCATTGTGAATGCCACCGGATTTCTTATCACCATGGAAAGCATCTAAATTCAGGCGAATGTTGTTAATCATTCTTATAGCTCTGTAGCCATCATGGACTTCCTTGCTCTCGCTCCATAGTACGGACTCATCAAGATCTGGTTTGTAAGGTACCAGTTGGACTTGCAGGAAAAACCCCATTTTAAGCAAAACTTCAAGGTTGATAAATTCAAAATGTTCTCTTATGTTTTGACCATCTGAAATGAAATAAAACATCAAGATGCACAAACAAAATCTTTCCACTGCCGGAATCAAGAAAGAAAGGGTTGGTGAAGTTATCAGCACTTCAGCCCACAAGAATCGGAAATGCATGCATTTTGTTTTACCTGATAAAGAGGGTATTTTAGCAATGGAAAAGTTGAAAACCTATAAAATTGTCGAGAATTGTTCATGACCGTGATAAGCCACTTGAATATTTCGAGCAGCCAGTAAACTACACCAATATCGAATCATGCTACAATAACAATATACCACTGAATTGGCAGAACATATAACACCAACAAAAAATTGTGACTCGGATAATTCCTATGCATAACCAATCTCATGATGTAATTTGAAAGCGTGTCAAGTGTTAAACAACTCAAAACTCAAATCATATCTTAAAAGGAAAAAGAGGAAATGCAAAAAGTTCTTGAGCGCAACGAAATACAAAGGAGAAACCCATGTTTCCACAAAAGAATGAACTAAAAAAAATACAGTGAAAGCCATACAGAATTCTACAGGATGAGAAGCTCCAATGGAGTGTTTAATGACTTGACCAGTGGCCTTATTAGCCAGAGAAAAACTGGGGAAACCCACTTGATCTTTCACTCTTGTGCTGAACTTCTCATCTTTGTACCACTTCATCTCATGGGTTGGTGGTTGGTGCGGCGGGGGTGACGGAAAGCCCGGTTGCTGAAAGTATGGTGGTGTTGGTCCATCAAAGGCATGCTGCTGGAAGTATGATGATGGTGGTGGCGGTGGATATGGTCCGTCTAAGGCGGGTGGTTGATGGTAGTTTGGTGGTGGCGGCGGATATGGTCCGCGAAAGGCGGGTGGTTGATGGTAGTTTGGTGTTGGCGGGTAGTGCTGACACGGCGGAGGAAACTCATGGTGATGGAGATGTTGCGGTGGTGGTCTTTCTCGGTTATCTTCATCATCGTTCCAATGGTGACGAGTTTGAGAGTGATTGTGACCAAAAGGGCACTCCATTTCTTCGATCCTGATTCCTGATCGACTTTCTAAAACCGTATTTCCTTATCTTTTGTTTAGTTGTGTTCAACAGTTTGCCCACTTAACTATATCAAACTAAACAATAGGGTAAAATTTAGTTCATTATTTAAACAAATAAGACGCTTGGTCCAGTGGTAGAGGTTATGCTATTCCATAGCCTTTTCCCAGTTCGAGTCTCCTTCCATGTGTTTCCATTTGCTTTAAACACCAACTAGTCTCTTTGATCGGTAAATATAATCAACCATAAAATTATTTATTTTATTTTTAAAAATTCTGACACGTTATCATAATCTCCTACATAGATATGTCACGTCAACTTTCACGTTCTTGTGTGTTTGCTCCGTCAGCTTTTTGACGTTGATCGTCAGTTGAACGATAGTTTCTATCCGTCAAGCGTGATTTTTGACTCAAAATTAAATGTTTAGTGGTCAAATGTTCCAAAAAAAACAATACGAGCAAATTTGACACTACTGTCAAACGTTAGAGTTATTTTGTTGCATTATACCTTATAAAAATATCACTATATGTGTTGCATCCCTCTTAAATCAACTTATTTCTTACTTGTGTCCGTTCTTCTTTTCTTTACATATTCTTTAATGTGGGTTACATATTTACTATATTTTTTTCCTTTTTTATGTTCTATTTAATTAATGAGAAAATATGGAACTGAAAAATATAAAAAAATTAAAATTATATTTAAATATTTATTTTTTATTTTATTTAAGTTAAATCGAAGATGAGTTTTCATGAGGTAACTTGTGGGGAAGTGAAATAACACTAAAAATCGTTGTAGGTCGGAGTCATATGTATACATCTAATTTTTTAATGTAGTCGTATGTATACTATCAAATGGAATAAGCTTTGAGTGGACTGAGATAAATTGTGTTGGCTTGAACTTGGATTGATCTTAAAAATTTTCAAGTAATTTTATGTTTGAGTCATTTAGATTTTGAATTTAGATTATTAAAGATTTTTTAAGTCAAGTCATTTTTAGTTCAATTATCTTAGGTTTAAATTGTGTGTATTCAAATTGTTAGATTTTTTATTGATAAATCAATTAGATTAAATTTTTAAAGTAAGGGTTTTTGAGTCCATGCCCAAAAAGTTACTCATAGTCCAAGAATCTTCATGCGGCAAGTAGCTATGCTCTATGGGGTTATAAATTTTGGTAATAGTCACAATTTTGAGCTAGCAAAGTGTTGGATTTCTACTTCTTCCACAAAATTAACATCGACCCATGGTTAGGACGTCCTCTCCCCACCCTGACCCCATACACAAGAAACCATCCCCCCAGCTGGCTTGGACCCCTTCCAACAGAAATGTTGCTCCCCAAAATAGGAAGCAAAAACACTCGCGGATGACAATAATACAGTTGAGTAGTACACCATCAACCCAAACATGACGCTTATTGTTTCCTCCATCTTACACACTGCATGTGCTTCCTTCTCTGTTCGTGCTACATCCGTATGTCCGTGACGTTCCAGATTCTTGTTCTTACCTGTCAAATGGGTGGTCCATTCCCCGTTTTCATTTCATCCCAACATCAAACGTTTATCTTCTGATCTTCCTTGGTTTTCTGTGGCTTCTATAAATTGTCACAACTTTCGAAATGTCCATGAGCATAGTCGAGCAGGCTACCTGTAATTAAGGGCCACATTCTCCCAATTTTAGTGGTTCCCTTGATTATTCATATTTGCACACTGCTGCTTTCGGTGATTCCATTGGACCCATATCCGTATTTGCATGTGCTTTCCAATTTCTCATCCTCCCAAGTGAAGACCTTTTCAGTTAACCAATCAATTTCAATCACACAGTTACATGAATTCGGGTCCTTTGGTGACCATGAGTTCAGTGTTTGTTCTAGCCTTCAAACCGTTTTAGTACGTACTTGTTGGCACATTGCATCTTTTGATTCATCACGTACTATACCAGACCACGTCCTAAAATAAATTTTATAATATCCTAATTATAATATGAGCATCTCTCATCTTTTTAAATTCTTTAATTTAATTCTTAATTTAGATTGTAAAGTTTAATTTTCATTTAATTTAGTCCTAATTTGAGTAATCAAAATTTCTAATATTTAAATTTTACACTTTTATTTTAATTCTATTTGATTTAACCATTTTATGTTCTTTAAATTTATTTAGATTCTATTCGACCTTCATTTTTCGTATTTCATTACATTTTTATTAACATGTTAAATTATTGTAATTAAATAATAATTCAAGTTTAAAAATAAATTATATTTTTGTTTAACTTTACTTATATATTAATTTCATTATATTTTTATTAACATGCTAAATTATTGTAACTAAATAATAATTCAAGTTTAAAAATAAATTATTTAACATGTTAAATTATTGTAATTAAATAATAATTCAAGTTTAAAAATAAATTAGATTTTTGTTTAACTTTACGTATATATTAATTTCAGTTTTTATTGAAATCCAAGCATGCCACCATGTATTGAAAAGTTCCCGACTGAAGGATTAGAAGGTGCACCGAGTAGAGATATAGGTTGACACTTTAGAGATCCAGTTCCAAATACGAAAGGAAATGTTGTATGTAAACTTTGTGGCAAAGTTACATAAGGAGGAATAACACGTTTTAAAGAGCACATTGCTCATGAATCCGGTGTAGTTACACCATGTCATAATGTCACAAGAATGTGATAGTGATGCTTTTTAATTTCTTTAGAAAAAAGATACTTTATAATTATTTTTTGACACATGTTCTTTATAATTATTTTAAAATGTTAATAATAAAGATTATACCTTATTAATAGTTTGAATTATATTTATTTGATTGCAGGTATCATTAGAGAAAGCATGATGAATTTAGTTAAAAAATCCAAGGAAAAGAAAATAGACAAAAATAAGGAGAACAGATGAATTCTTATCACAATTAGGGGAAGATGATGATGAATTCGCAGATGACGTTTCTACTATGAGACAAGACACTCAAGAAAGTATCCAATCACAACACGAGTGACATAGAAGAGAAGAATTCAGACGAAGTACGTGTGGTTGGGATAACGTTTATGAAGACTGACGATCTTCTTCTCTTGGATCATCTTTAAGATATTGTGGAAAAAGATCCATCCTAAATAAGACTGAATTTACTTTAGGGGAACTATACCTGAATTGGTTATGAGCAAAAGCTCAAGGCAACCAAAGGTTAGCGAGTTTATTTTAAAGATATTACGTGAAAAGATGGGTGAAGCGGTCTCAAAATTTTTAATATACAATCGACTTCCTTTTCAATTAGCAAGCTCGCCTTAGTTGTATAACTTAATTCAATATTAATGGAATTTGAACAAGGTGTAAAGCTCCCAACACCTTATGAGATTTCAGATGTGTATTTGACATCGGAGTATGAACAAGTTCATGAATGGGTAAATGGACTGAAGACTCATTGGAAACAAGTGGGTGCAACTCTGATGTGTGATGGTTGGACCAATAGTTTAAATCAAATGTACATCATTAACTTCCTTGTTTATTGTAGTAAAGGAACCGTATTTTGGAAATCTGTGGATGTCTCGAGCGTTCGTAGTAGAGATGCTAAATTCTACTACAATTTGTTAGACAAAGTTATTGAAGAAATTGGGGAAGAATACATTATCCAAATAGTGACTGACAATGAGGTAGCAATGAAAGCCGATGGGAAAAGATTAATGTTGAAAAGAAACCATCTTTATTGAACCTCATGTGCAGCTCACTACTTAGATTTATGTCTTGAGGATATTGAAAAAAAGTCTAGTGCGGCAAACGTGTTAGAGGAAGCGAAGAAAGTGACTTGCTTCATAGATAATCACATTTGCACCGTTTTATAATTAGTTAATAAAGTTTCTCAAATATAACAATATTTAATGATTTTATTAGTTCCAATTTTCAAATAAATTAAATTATGTTATTGATTTTTTTCTTATTAAAATAGAGAAATTCAGAGAATCAAAATGGGGACATCAAAAGTCAGGGCCTGCTTATGAAGCCAAAAAAATTATTTCGGGAAAAGATTTTTGGAAAAAAGTTGTTGATATTATAAAAGTTTACGAACCCTTAGTCAAAGTGCTAAGGCTTGTGGATGGTGATGAAAACCCAACAATGGGCTTTATTTATGAGGTCGTCAATAGAGCTAAACAAACAATTAAGGAAAATTGTCGATATTTTAACGAGTATGAAATAATTATTGACAATGGATGAATTTTATGCATTCAGCTGGTAAGATAAAATATATCATATAGTTAAGAGTTATTTTTATTTTACTATTTTAAGTTTTATAATTTATATTATTATCATTTGAGCATATTCTTATAAATTATGATTAGGTTATTTCCTCAATCCTCAATTTCAATTTGGGGTGGAGCATCCTGAGAATGTATTAACAGAAATATTAGAAAGTACAAGATCAGGGATTGAAAGATTAGAATCTTCTATTGATAATTAAATCATAATGGTTAATCAGGTTAGATTCATTCAAGTACTATTATTGTAACTTAGTTAAATAATTTGAAATTTAATTATTTTTCTCATTCTTACTTAAACTTTTATTTATGCAATTGTTATTATTTTGAAGTAAACACGAGACATTTGGTACTTTACAGACACAAAGCGCTTGAAATCAAATGAATTCGGGTAAATAGTTAATTAAATTATTTACTTTATATTATTTAATTATATTTGTACATTTTGATGTTAGTTTGAAATTTAAATAATATCATGCAGCTGAGTGGTGGATGATATATGACACATGTACTCCTGAATTACAACGATTAACAATTAAATTACTTAGTCAAACAACTTCTACATCAAATTGTGAATGAAACTGGAGCACATTTAGCTATATTCACACCAAATCAAGAAACAAGTTGAAGTACAAAAAACTTGAGAAACTAGTGTTTACCTATTACAATATGAGGCTTAAAATGAGGCATCAAAAAAGAATGAGCATTTATGATATAAACACTAGTTACAATC